TTTTTAAAGGTGTGACCATTTTTGGGAGATCGGTGCGAAGTGACAACAGCATAGCAACGACGTACTTGCAAGGTTGTCTTTTGAATCATCACACACCTATCGCAGGTGTATTTCAGTATCTGGAAGACACTGATGTGAGTTCAACTCCTCTCATCTTGAAACCTCGGCATTGTTCGGAACTGTTTTAATCTTTCTCTTCTGCCTCAAGATTTTTTAGGTGGAATTCTTTATTCTCGGCCACGTTTCGACGTTTCGACCCTTTCGTCGTTGTCAAGGCCTAAACATGGCTCAAAGCTTTAGAGTTGCACACTACCCCACCAAAGACATTCCCCTCTAGCATTTCTGACGTCTATCTTAGGATCGCCAAGATACCCAAGGTTAAAAGATAAGCTCACCCGTGTTCCACCACTGTTGAAACAACCGAAAGAGTGTGTTTCCCTAACGAATGATCTCCTACCGTTCATGGAGCATTGTGGATTGCATGCATGATAAGCGAAGGTGCACGTCATTGATACTACACGACGGTAGCACTCATTCGCATACTAACCTACTCACCTACTAACGTGAGCTGTAGCTTTACGCTACATTGTAGTGGTGGAACACGAGGTGAGCTTATCTTTAACTCTTGGGTATCTTAGCGATCCTGAGATGACGTCAGAAATGCTAGAGGGGAATGTCGTAGGGTAGTGTGCAACTCTAAAGCTTTGTGATGTTGACAGCGACGAGAGGGTCGAAACGTTGGCCGAGAATAAAGGATTCCACCTGAAAAACCTCGAGGCACAAGAGAAAGATTAAAACACTGATGTGAGTTTTTTGTCGCTTTGAAAATGAGTATCTTCGTAGGATGTAGTTAAGCTGTAAAAAGGCATATCCGAGAGCGACTCCTGGTCGTAGCGGTCACCTTTGGTCAGGGTGTTAATTAATTTGCCGGAGCCAACTCGCAGACATAAGAAATTCCGTTGGAAAAAAATAAAAAACAGCGCTCCTCCATCTGTACATCGATACTGACGCTATAAGTATGACGTGCATCTCACATTTTCCACGCTTCTTCGAACCAAAAAACAGTAGCCAGCGATGCCAAGCAGTAGACAGCCATTAAGTGGTCGTTAAGGAAAATTCCAAGCATTATAGACAGCGTCAGTCGTGTTGAGTCGAAGAGCAACGACAAATCACTGAGAGCGTTCGTTAGATAAGGTGAGGTTTTCTTCTGCATAGGCGGCTAACAGACCTTTGATCGAAATAGTAACCAAACATTTGCACGTAAGCGATAAGAAAGCTGAATCGGCAAAGAAATTCCGTCCAGCCGAGGAATGACCGGAGCATACTGAATTCAAGGAACCAATAAATGAAAAACACCCATTGTACCAACAGATAGTAGCGAATGGAGTCGGATAATGGAGGATTGTAGCGAACAGTAGGACAACGTTCGACCTGCAAAGCGTGTTTTACGTACACCTCAAATATGGGAGGAACTCTCCACCAGAAGTAAGTGTGCATCTGACTTTCAGGACAAATGTACACTCAGTTCCGAGGGCGGTCCTTTTCATGTTGCATGCCAGTCTTTTCGCTTGAAATCACTTGTAAGCATGTTCGAAGGGTAGCGGTACCAGAGATGTTCCTTCGTCTCACTTCGCCTGCACTATCTTCAGCGTACATCGTTACCAAGACCCTGCACCTAACATTCACTCAGCGGTAGGAAACAACAAGGAGTAGGAGAGAGCGCTCCACCTCTAAGCGTGTGTGCGGCTCGGGATCTCAACAAGAATTGATCCCGGGGCGCACATACACTCGTCTAAGAATAAACAACAGGCAACACGCTCAGCTATGGTTGGTCCTGTGTGGCAAGTCGGATGTCTATTACCATCGATCTTCGTTCCCGTGGGAGGAAATGGTACGTAGTGCAGCTGTGATCCACATCTCGTACAGGGCAAAGACAAAAATGCAAGCTTTTCATCATGAATACATCTGTGCCAATCAGAGAGCACTATTCATGAACTCTTCGTTCTTTTCTATCCATACAATTAGACCAGCGCAAAGCACCAACATTCAAAGGACTCACCTCAGGAATCCCCTCAGTGTTGTCCTCCATGCAAAACCACAGAAAGAAGCGTTTCGTTCGCATTCCCGGAAAGTAAGCTGGCGGCCAGAAAGCGGCTTTCACCTACATATGACTTGATGGTAGACTACATTTCTCGAAGCAAAAAATAGGATTACTACAGGCCATACGAGAGAATTCGCCCCTCGAAGTTGTTCTCTCTTACCTTGTTCCAGGTCCCTGGGAAAAACTCTTCATTGTTCTCTTTTCTCATCTGACCTTTGTCGTAACCGAAAACTTTGAATGCGAAGAACTGAAGACGATTGATTATTCATCTAGACTTTCTACTGAATACTGCACGCTGACTATTTAATAACAAACTTGACACCACAATTGATTGAATGACGCCACAGGCGTAACTAGTCCGTAAGCGATCTCTTCCTCTTTCCGTTCCGGCTCGTATGTGCCAAAAAGTCTGTAATTGGAATTTTTCCGCGTCCAGAGACATCTGTTTCCATATCATTGAAATGAGCTGCGCTTTTTGCCGAACATTGAATGCTTTGTGCGCCTAAGACCAGCACCTGTTTTGTCCATCTTAACGCAGCGCACAATCATTATCGACTCAATGTTCGGATATTATGGAAACCACAACAACAGCTTCACCTGTCCCATATAATCAGGACGCCGCCATAGTTCTTGTCGATGCAGTATGGATTTCTTCCATGGTGGACTCGGTGACTAGATGGAGTGTTAATGAAGTACTCGAGTGGGCCGAGGTGAGGTACAACCTGAAGAGTGGATTCCGAAAATTCCAAGTGTCAGGAAATTAGTTCCTCCAGCATCCCTCTCTGAGTACATGAACTTTGCGGAATTCAAGCTTTTATGATTTTTACTTTTCTTCAGATCAGAAAAAACTGTTTGCGTTGGAATTTCATATTTGAGTGATTCTTCAAAATGGCAACCATTGTAGCCACAGTGAGATGAGCAGCTAAGGCAGTTATTCGATTGGTCATCAACTGTCAATTATGTACAGTTATGAACAAATCCAAATGTTAAAAATAAACTAGAACCAAATATAGTTGATAGATGATAAATCTAATGCAAGCAATCTGACTAATTCACCATCGTTCATGTGCCTCTTGAGGAAAGGAGGCCACCAGTGAGATTTTCGAAAGTGAAGTTCAATAGAAATAGGTCGATACTTGTGCAATTAGATACATATTTCTGTGAAACTTGAATCGTAAACTAGTTGTAAAAATGTACATTTCTTTCTGCACATGATGTATTGAGCACATCTCAATGTCTGTACATATTGGTATGCGTGTACATTTGTACACGTTCATAAAAGTGAACTGGAACACAATAATCAGATGTGGTCAACCACAGCTATGAAACAGATTCGTTCTTGACGTATTCATATGTTCCTATTATACCGTAGCCAGAAGAATCTTTAACTTTGGTTTTATAAAATAATCGAATAGATAAAGGGGAAGAGTATTCCCTCTTTTCTCTCACTGATAAGCACAGAAGGAGAATATAACAGACCATATTCAGTTCTCATCGTAGGGTAGGTGGAATAAGCAACCTCTTTGAATCACCGCCTCTTCAACTTCAACGAAAGAATAGAAGAATCATAACCAGAATAATATCATATGAAATAAAATCAAAATCGAAACACTGCGTTAGGCATAGTAAGTTCAAATTTTATTGAGAATTCCACCCGTTTGAATAGGCAAACCGAGCTTTTGTTTCATCCATTATAAGGAGAAATTCTGCTATAATAGACTTTGAACGGATGGGAGCGCTGGCTATCCCTGCCTTCTCCCTGAGTTAGGAGGAATTCTCTTTCTAGTACCATCTTTTGTGTTCTCTCAGAATAGTGAAACTCAATACGTGAAAAAAGCGAACTTCTACTGAATGACAAAGCACTTACAGTCGAGTGAATCCAGAATTGATAGAGAAAATTCAGAGAGCGATGGACGTAAAAAATCTTTGGTGGAATGGCAAGAGCTTGCAGCATGTCGAAGAACATTTGCATAAGATCCTTAATGTTACGATTTTTGGAGAGTACAATTGGAATAAAAGCCTTTTCTGCCGTTAGGGTGTTCCAGTCTTGACTGCTGTTTTCTGTATTACTTTTTGTGAGGTTGCTCACTCCCTGTGTATTTTTTAGAAACCATGTCTGAATTATACATAACTGTTAGCATTTTCTACTTATCTAGCAGCTCGATTGACTTTGTTTAGTGTTTAGTACTTTGGAAAGTTTTTCGAAAGTTCTCTGGTCGCAGCCACACAACTTAGTGCGGAAATTACGAACAATAGTCAAATGAAATCAGAACTGAATGGAATTACATCAAGATTGAATGTCTCGAGATGGCCATTCAGCCCATATGCAGGAGATCGCTTAGTTGCAGAAGCTTGGTAGGCGAATGACCTGTGAATTGAGTCAGACCTGGAGAGAGAGTCTTTCGAGGTCTTCCTCTCCCTGTCTTTGCACAACAGAAGTGGACCATTTCTAGAGCGTATTTTGAC